CACGGGGGACGGGGTCAGACGGGAGCTGCCGGCCGAGACGGGGCTTCACACGGGCTGGGTGGAGAACGGGGGGCTCTTCATCGCCTCCAACAAGCAGCGCCTCGACGAGTACAAGAGGCTCATGTCGGTAGGGAGAAGCAGAATTAAACCCAAGCGTGGAATTTTGCCCGTTCAGATAGCGGCAGCATCATTTTTCCATCCCAATCCAAGCTGGGTTTTGGGCTTGCCTGGGGGCAGTGGTTGCCTCATGGGGGAGACAAACAGGTCCTGGAGGTCAGCAAGTGATGAGCAAAGCTTCCGTTGCCTGCTTGATCTGATTTTCTTGTCCCGTTGGCAGCTGGGGAAGGTGTATGGCGTGGAGTCCTACGTCCTGACCCCGTCACAGACTAAGGACCTGTACCCGCTGATGAACGTTGACGACCTGTATGGCACGTTGTACGTCCCCAAGGATGGCACCATGGACCCAGCTGGTACCTGCTCAACTCTTGCTAGAGCAGCAACTGCCAGAGGCGCTACGGTAGTTCCCAATTAGTAATTACTTATTAGTGACTGTGGATACCCGGAGTAGATTTCAACCTCTGCCTTCCCCAGTTCCTTCTTTCCCACCAGAGCAGACTTGGTCATGCAGCGTCAGGGCTTTGCCCAAGAGGGTTGTTGTCCTGTTCAGCTTTGGTAGCTGCTTGGGCCACAACAACAAAACTGGCAGGAACCATGAGATCCAGGGAAAATAAAGGATGAATAAAAGACATTTGGGAGCAAGGTGAGGCAGGTTGCTTGGGAGAGTGGAGGTTTTAGTATGAAGTAATACAATCCACTTCTCAAGGCAGGGACTCCCCATCCTTGGGGCATTCTTTTGCTCATGTTCATGTAAATAATAAACCCCCTCTGCGGCTGTGGGTGCACGGAGCCGCAGTTCAAGCCTGCGGTTAAGGGAGGTGTGTTATTACCAGCAGTAGTAGCCTTTGGGAAGGGAGATGGCCGGTGCCAGAGTGCTGCTAGGATTCACCTTTCCCAGATTTGGGGCTTAGATGTCAGTGAGGCAGCTCATCCCACCGCCCCCGAGACCCTCCCATGACTCTGCTTCCTTTTCTTTGCCACCAGATCATCGAGAACTGCCCGGTCACCGGCATCCAGGTCAGAGCTGATGATTTTGGGGTGAAGAGGGTGTATGCGGTAGAGACGGCCCATGGGACCATCCAGACCCCCTGTGTGGTGAACTGTGCAGGTGACAGGGCACAAAGCATGGCAGGGAAGCTGAGTGGGCTGGAGCTGCACCTGCAGGAGAGGGGCTGGAGGGTCTGCACCAGTCCTTGTGTCTCGTCCCCCCACATCTGGTTGCCACCCCCAGACCCCACTGCAGGTCTCCGGAGGATGGAGGGGTGCTCAGCGCCGGGCTGCTCTCTCCACAGGGGTATGGGCACGGGCCCTGGGCCGGCTGGCCGGCGTCCACGTGCCGCTGGTGGGGATGCATCACGCCTACGTGGTGACCGAGCGCATCGAGGGCATTCAGGTCAGTCCCACCCGGCTGCAGGTCAGTTCCTCTGCTCTGACAGGCAACGCTGGCTCCTGACCCCCTGCACGTGGCAGGGTGAGATGGGACAGACCCCCCTCCACCCCAGCACCCCCAAACCTGCAGGAGCCGCTCCCCACCACCTGAGCGTGAGCCTGCAATGCTGAGCCAGGCTCTGCACCTTGGGAAGTGCACACCCAGCAATTTCTCCTAGCAGGACTATCAGACTGCCCTTAATAGAGTCATGTTTAATATTTAACAACGTTATGAATGGCAGGATAATTTCCTTCTTTTTTTTTTTTCATCTCGATAAAATTATTATAGAGTCTCTGATGTGTTTGGTGTCTGATAGCAGCATTAATGGAGATGCCAAACACTTTCTGAGCAAGCCCTAATCCCCAGCAGGCAGAGGTGTAAGTCTCTGAGCATTTTTATACTCTCCCAAGAAATCTGTTCCTGCCATCCAGCTGCAGAGAATTGTTCAGGAGCTGGAAGAGACTTCATTCATTCAACTGCCGGGGCTTTGAGGGTGACACATTACTTACTTTCCAACTGACTGACACAGTCTGTGTCTGAATTTTCAGTCTGAGGTGCCTCATTTAAAAAGTGCTGCTCTCCATGATTACATTTATATCCCAGTAACTCCTACTCCGGTAATGGTGAGAAGGAGGCTTGTCAGAGAAGAGACTTCAGCTTGCAGACCCCAGTGCCTCCTCTTCAATCCACTTAATTCCATATGTCAACCTCAATTGCAATAGACCCTACACCAATACCTCCCTGCTACCTAAATGTTTCTCTATCCATTATTCACCAGAACAAATCCCTCATTCTTTGCACACCGCTGCCCGTGTGTCCTGCTTTTACATCCTCCCGTGGAGGTGGGTGGTAGGGCAGGGATGCTTTTCCACACTGCTGCAGCAGCTGCTCCCACTCCCCCCGAGCAGCCCCAGTGCTGCCAGTGCCAGGAAGGAGCAGCCGGAGAGCCCAGGCTCCTGCTGTCAGAGCTGGAGTTCACCAGCTGCTAATTAGACAGGATTTGTGCAAGACTTGGCTTCCAGCTTGGGTGCCTGACCCCAGTGAACGGATGCACTGCCCGCAGCATCGCTGAGCACCCAAACCACTTTGCCCATGGCTTGGCCAGGTTTGCTGGAGATGACCTGGATGTCTTCATGGAGGGCATGTAGGAACCCAAATTTCAGGGCTGTGGGAACATCCACGGAGCCACCGTTGCTCCCATCCTTGATGGCTCACTGCTGCAGGTGCCAGCCCTCTGATCCCAGCCCCCCAGGACATCCCGTCCAGGTTAATCAGGGTCATGTTGGGGTCTCCTCGCAGCCCCGGGCCCCCTCTCAGCCCACCGCTCCCCGTCCCCTTTTTTCAGAACATGCCAAACGTTCGCGATCACGACGCCTCGGTGTATCTCCGTCTCCAAGGCGATGCCCTTTCCGTGGGTGGATATGAGTCAAACCCCATCTTCTGGGAAGAGGTGAGCGGTGCCGGGAGGTTTTCTGGGGGAACGAGGCAGGTTTCCAGGGAACTCACCTCACATGGCAGGCACAGAGGTGAGCACCTTGGCCCTGAGCTCCGGCAGGTACCAACCTCCACACGGCCGGTGGGGAAAACACGGAGAGTATCTTCCCTTTGAGTCTGTCTATGGCAGAGATATGAGGTGCAGAGGCAACAGGAATGAGGTGAAAAGGCTGGGATGGGGGGATTTAGAGGCCACTGTATGGCCCTTTCCTGCTGCATCATCCCTTTGCCCAGGTGCATGTGTCTTAATTCAGGCTCTGTCCCAGACCTTTGGCTTGCTCATGAAAATACAGAGAAACCAGAGCATGCAAGGCAGCCTCTATTTTCTGCAGTTTCCAAGGCTGCCAGAGCTAAGAAATTCCCACACCACCAGCTGTACTCTATTTTGTGTCCCAATTCCTGTTTCCCACCTGCAGGTATCTGAAAAATTTGCTTTTGGCCTCTTTGATCTGGACTGGGACGTCTTCATGCAGCACATCGAAGGTGCCATCAACAGAGTGCCGGTGCTGGAGCAGACGGGCATTAAATCCACCGTCTGTGGGCCAGGTAACGTGGCGGGGATGGAAACCCATCGTGCTGGAGGCCAGGGGAAATGTCATGACCTGGGGAGAAAGAAAACCCTCTAAAGGCAGAAAAAGCTGCTGTGGTCTGGCTGCAATGGTGTCATCTTCCAAGGGGTGGCATCCCAGGCTCAGCCTAGGTGGAGAAACACCCGAGGAGCTCATTGCCTCGGTGCAGACTCCGGTGCTAGTGCAGATTTACAGCTGGTGGTGGGGCCACTGGTCTGGGGAATCAAGGGGCAGATTTTTTTCAAGCAGGAGCCATCGTTCTACCAAGTGTTACCTTACGTTATTGTTTTTACTACTTACTCCTGGGCCGGCAACATTAGATTGACCCAGATTTACATCCCAGGCTGTCTGGTGGGGAGTTAAAGGCCATAGCATTGCTGCAGCAGCAGCTAGAGGAGATGCCAGCCATTGAACCTGAGCCCTGCACACTTGGTTTGGCCCTAAAATCCACCACATTCTAAGAAAAATAATTTTTTTTGAGAATCCCTTTTTATTGAAGCACTAAAGGGAAACCCTCAAGGCCCTTGGGGAGGGAGCAGTGCTGCTGTACGAGAGGAAAGCAGGGCACATCTCCTGCCCCGCAGCAGAGAAAACATGGCAGGTACGAGGTTGGAGGGCTTGGCCCTGGGTATGGTGGGTTTGATTAAACTGGGTTGTAAGCAGAGCTGGTGGCCTCCGGTGGGGAGCTGACTTCTTGCAGATAAATGCCTAGCATTTGTAGTACAGTAATGTAATTTCTAGAGGGTCAGCACTCCTCCTTTTCTACTTCTTGATCTAAGCCAGCAGCTGGTTTGCTTGCGACAGCTGAGTCACGCTGGGCTGAGGCAAATAGCAAACGCTTGTCCTTCCTGCTGCACGGTAAATATTTCACTACTAGAACAGCTACCACGCTGTGCTGCAGGCACAAGGGGCAAAACCAGCCTAAATTGAGTTAGTTTAAGGTGTTTCTGCTCCTGCAGCCAAGTGGGCACTCAGCATCCTTCCCAGTGCAAAACCAGCAGGACTGGTGTGCAGCACTGGGGAAGGGGTTGATGCTCTGGGTGTTGCTCCATTAACTTTGTAGCCTGGCATGCTGGTTCAGGGATGTTGGTAGAAAATAATCTCTTCACTCTCCTCTTGCCTTCTCCGGAGCTCAGAGATCTTGGGAAATAAGCTGGGCATTGCTGGGCAGAGGAAGGACCAGACCAGAGAAGGGACTCTCCTTTCACGTGGCTGGATGAACCACCATAAAAGAGGGAGGAGCATTGTACACCTCTGTCAGAGTGTTCTGCTCTGTCTTCCCTAGCAGGGTTTTGCAGAGGGGCTGGGCTTGATAGCCCTGTGGGGAGCAGGAGCTGGCAGCATGAGACTTTCATTAACACGGGAGCCTTGGGTGACATGAGCAGCAATCCCTCAGCTGAATAAAGTGGCGTAAATTCATGAAATTTTGCAGCAGAAATCGATGAAGGTGAAAAAGAGTCATGAAAATGAAATATGGCCCAGATATTAAGTGAATGGGTCTGTGCAGATCCCTTGACTGGAGAAGTTGGAGAAGGAGAGTCTGCTTCAGCCACTGCAGCACCTCATGCACTTTCTGGATGGAGCTTCATCCTGCTTCACATATTTTCAGTCTAAACCCTGATGCTGAGGTCCTCCCCTCGTAGTGCTGGCAGGCAGCGAGTGCTACTGAGCCACCGGGGGGTGAGGAGGTGCCCTGATCCCAGAGTCTCGAGCGTGCAAGGACAGACTGTACGAGGCTCAGGGCTGCAAATTTGCTGCCTGGGACCACCAGCTGCTGCCTCTGCTACCGGCACCATGTGTGTGCATGTGTGTATACTCATGCAAGCTTTTGAAGCAAACATATGTATATATATGTACATATATTTGCTTCAGGAGCCTGCACAAGACCCCTGTGTGATGTTGGGCATCCCAGTACCAGGGCAGCCCTTCCCCTTGGTCTCTGCTGCCAGGGTGCTGCTGGAGAGGTGCAGGAGGGGGATGCCTGAGCTGAGATGCTGGGGAGAGCTCGGTGTTGGTCCAGTTCTCTCCCCACTAACGTCTCTGGGAGCAGGAACAACCCAAGGCCAGCACGTGAAGCTGCAGGAACCCTGCTCCTAATGTGTGCCCAAAACACCTGGCCTGACCTCGCTGGCTTATCCCCTTCTCTCTCTTCTTGCAGAGTCGTTCACAGCTGACCACAAACCACTCATGGGGGAAGCCCCAGAGGTCCGAGGCTTCTTCCTTGGCTGTGGTTTCAACAGCGCCGGTAAGAGAGACCTTGAAGGGATCACACCTCAGGTATCCCCACGTGGGCGTCGTGCCCCGAGCACAGCCCGGCACCCATAGCCACGCTTGACCTCCTGGCCTCATCTGGGTCCTCGCCTCTTCCCCCAGGGATGATGCTGGGAGGTGGCTGTGGGAAGGAGCTGGCTCACTGGATCATCCACGGGCGCCCGGAGAAGGACATGTACGGCTACGACATCAGGCAAGTCACCCCGGCTGCCCCAGGTCCCCCTGGGCTGGGGGGCTCCTGCGCTGATAGCCTTGTCCTTGGGTGGTCCTTGGGGACACGTTTCAAGGCAGGGCTGGATCTTGGCATCGGTGGTGGGTGTTGGGCAGCATCTGCGCTGCAGCCCGTGTCCCTCCAAGGAGCTGGAATCAATTATGCTCGATGGCTTTAATGAATTTACACGTGGGGTTTATCTCATTTGCCTCATCCCGCTTCTACGCAAACAGCTTCCATCAGACATGTGGAGATTGCAGCAATGGGAAAAGACAGAGTAATTACGTTTGGGTTTTGTTGTTGTTCAATTAGTGCCGTGCCTAATCCTCTAAGTTAATAATCGGGGGTGATGATTTGAACAGGAGAAAGATTAGCTCCCCCCGCAACATGACATGGGATGGGAGTTTTGACTGTGCAGATGTTGGCTCTCTAATTGCTTTTGACTCGCCTAATTATATTTGATTGGTTTGGGGCTTTCTTATAGGGCTGCTAGCGACAGCAACCACCTTGTCAGGGATGAAGCTTTTAGAATCACATTGCTTTAATGGCAAAACTTGTTAACACCCCATTGACTCGGGCTGGGAGGAGAGGGGAGCCAGTGCGGGCGCCTGCAGAGGTCAGCGGGAGATGCCTCCCGCAGCCTTCCCCCACCAGCCCCGCAGCCGGGCCAGCGATGGGCCAGGCTCGGGAAGGAGAAATCCCTGGGCCAGGCAGGCACCGCGGCACCATCAGGCGGGTGGGTTGGCGCCACCACAACTGCCATT